TAGTTACGTCCCATGTTTAGAGGGAAGGGCATTTACGTCTTGGCCCTTTATTTTTAATAAAAAATGGCTTGTTCTATCCTATGCATCTCTAGTTTTCAAAGGGCTATTTTGCTCCTCTTGTTCTCGTAAAGTTGTTTTAGTGGCCAAATTTAAAGCTCTTAATATTTAATAATATTTTCATTTTCCATTTTTAATATTTATTTTCCCTCTAATATTTTCAGTGTAAATTGTTATGTGTAGCTCACTTACACTCCAAAGAGAACAGATTGAGATTTTAAGTGGTTGCAGCAAGATGTTTTCAATGGGGGTTGTTACTCCAACCATAACACAGCACTGTTTTCTTTTAAGAACAATCACAAGTTTGACATTTGTTGAAAGCTTTGTTATTCCTCTTGCCCCTTTTTTTCAAAATTTTTACAGCTATTTTATTGTGCTTTTAAAAATAAGGACTTCGACATTATTACTCCCAGGTCCTTGATGCTTATTTTATTTTTCTAATGGGATTTTTGTTTTTTTGAGGGGGGGGGGAATTTTCAGTTTTGATTTCTTTGTTTTTCTACAGTGAGGAAACACAAACCGTAACTATTTTCTGCTTGTTACAACTTGTAATAAAGTTGTTACATCTTGACTTAACGTGTTTATGACGTATTAGAACGTTGTTACAACTTGCTATATTGGTTGTTATAACTAGTTAGGAGGTGTTAAACTTGTTCGAACGTTGTAGCAACATCGTAGTTTCGGTGTGTGTTTGGCGGGTAGTAGCTAGAACTTTTTTTGGATCCATTCAACATTAATGTTTTTTGTGCTGGAATTACCATCCAGCCAATCCTAATCTACCACATTTAACTAGTATACTAAGCCAGATTTGTTGTGTATGTAGACCTTTATCATTTAGAACACAAATTATAATTACTGTATTTACAATCAAGGATCCAGATGGGCTGATGAGGCATTATCTTTGAAACTAATCAATGCTGCAAATAATTTTTAATTGTTTTATTTTATTTATATATACTGTACTGTATATACACTAGAAGGTACAATGGGTTTATGAGAACACATAGCATTGATGTTTTTACATCTCCTAGGTTATTTAACAACCTCAACTGTATTCCATCCATCAGTATTGCCTAGGGAAGGTCATGGAGCAACCCATCCTCCTAAAGTTTCCCAACGTCAAGAACGGTCTATTTAAAAAGTGGTCTCTCCTAACCTACCAGAGGACGCTAAACAGAAAACGGGACAGTACGTCACTTTCGCCAGCCGCTTTCATTTTCTTGCACGACAATTTTTTGAATTATGTAACGCATACGTGCGAAAAACAAGGAAAAGCATATTTCTTTGTAGGAAGACAGGGGGGCATGGATACGGAGTCCACAATTGATTCGTGTAGGGCCGTGTGTCTCGACTAGGGGCCATCGACGCCAAGGAGTCCATGGAGGTAATATATTGTTGTATTGCACTAACAAAATAACTACTTATGAATGCTTAACTAAATGTCTCCTGTTATTACACACGGAAATTGCAATAGCGTGATGCATCAAATGAACAAATATGCAGCGTCTGGGATGATCTCTGACGTAGGTTCGAATCCTCGTCACGGCCCTTGTGGATTTGTTCTGTTATCATTTACATGTTTTACAAAAATGCAGGCTTTGTGACATACGAATGTATGTATCGCAACAATGGATACTTTATTTTGTTGTAGGGGTCCCAAAGGTGAGAAACATGGTTAAAAAATGGGAAGAGAGGTACAAAACTTTAGGAACCACTGGACTATAGGATCTACTGCACGAGGAATAAAGTGTCTTTATCGAATTATGTAGCATAGGTGCATACAGCCTAGTACCCTACACTTCAACACCATGATATGTGCAATGTTATCCTTGTTAAAATTTAAAATTCTCAAAAAATGGTGCAAGTGAGAAAGGACTTATCCGAGAATGTTTCCACAAAGCAATAAAGGCCACGAATAGCTATTCCGCCACTTTAACCAAAGCCTCGGCAATTAACAGACAGCTCTTCTGCCACAAGCGTAAGTGCACGATCTCGCCTCAGATTAAAAAGTTAAATTCTTGGTAATGTGCACCGATTTATGACTTTTCTAACCTTATCACGACAAAAATAAGTCATACTATGTTGTTGTTGTTGTTAAAGATTCGCTACCTGGAACAAAGTTCCAAGTAGCACGGGCTATGGTGAGCCCGTAGTGCCTTTTTACTACTAACATACATACTAACATAACTAAGTCATACTAACACGCTAGCAACTACTGATACTTTATTACAGTATGTACTGTTTAACTGTACAGGCATCGCTTCACAAGTGGCCTAAAATAGGCAACTTTTACTGCCAATCAGCCTAAACGTGCATAAAATTCAACTTGGTAAAAATAATTTTACTTTTTAAAGATGAGCGAGTTAAATAATGCAGCCATCCTGTTTAGATAGTATTGTAAGTAATGTTGTAGACCATTTTACATACACTGACGTAATGGATAATTAGAAAGATAAATTTGGTACTACTAAATTTGGACAAACCTGAAACGTTTGTGTGTTGATAATGAAATTAAACCTAACCATCCTATGCCTACTTACATGTGCTATACTAGCCCTAGAAATATTTACGTTTTGTTTTTAACTTTTTTCCGAAGTATAAAGTGAATAGTATCAAATTCTACTATAATTATCCTTTATGTCAATATATATGTACGATGGTCCAAACAGTTGCAAAAAGTACTAACTAAACAGGAGGATTGGCTGGAATATTGCTATCCTAGGCCTAATAAAATGTGGAAGTAACAATACAATTAAACTAACTTTAATATGTCTGTGCTAATGTGAATAACCCGGTGGAGGGGGGGGGGGTGGAGATTAGCGCAAAGGTAACAATGGGGCAATTCTACACCGTAAAATTAGGCCCATTCCAAAGGTCATGTTTATTACGGACAAAACAGGATAGGCCTCAGTAACAACAAAGATGCAGGCAGCTGCAGTGTCATGAACACTAAACTTGCACAAGAGATTCCCGATATAATCAAAGGCGGACACGGACGCATTAAACAGACATGGCAACAAAAAGCCATGTCGACTTGAGAATGGTCCAGGACGGACCGAAACGTCGTCGTCCTTTCACCTTCTAATGTGTGGTTTGGTCAACATACTTCAGCCACGTTATTGTGACTCCTCGCCTGCACTTGGCAACAAAGCTTAGCACACCCAACTGGCAATGCAAAGCATAAAAAATAAAAGGGTTAGACTAGTGTTAGGATAAGGAAGTTAACCTTCCATTACCGACGTGGAAAATAAACCTAGTCGAAAATAGGCAACTCTACAGTGATGGAGACAGCAGAAATTAAAAATTAGGGTTGGAAAACAAACAATTCAGTGACAAAGACTGAAAAAAATAAAGAATAAAATGAGATGTACCAAGTAGTAATAGATGATTAACTTAGGGCACCTCAAGGTAAGGGTGGGAACACACACTACTGGAAAGCACAAAGGTAGTTAAATTTAAGAGAAAATGGGAGTGCTTGGAAACAGGTGAAGATACTAGGAGGAGGCAAGGATGTGGGAAGTGAACGTCGAGTTGCCATGAAGGTGGGGGAATGGGGGGAGAGGGACGGAGGAGGTAGGCAAGATGAAGACAGGTGGCAGAAACCATAATGGCGAAATATGACCAGAAACGTGTGGATCATGTCTTTATGGTACGTGCAGCTGGCCAAGCTTTCTCCTCCTCATGACTGCACCAGTGGTAATATTGGGAGACGCGACACAATGGCACATCTATATTTATTTATATACAAGAAGGTACGTTGGGTTTATGGGAGTACATAGACTTGAAGTTTTACATGTAAATTTTACATCCTAGTTTTACACTTTTGTAAAGCACGCAGAGCGTTCGGGCAGAATCCCGAAACATCAGTATTTGGCAAGGCTTAGAAGTAGTGGCAGATGATGTTTACACTTCGTGTAAGGAAGGACTAAACATGACATGTTAGACACTATGCACTTGACGGCCAGAGTTGGCTGTTGTGTTTATGGCTCAGCTGATCCTTGCTGCTTTAGTTTCGTTTCCTATGATTTTCTGTCCTGGTAGTTTGAGTTGTGTGTCAATTCACTGGTCCGAATACGGTGCATAATTCTGGTTTAACAAAAACGACAAGGAAGCGAACGCAGCAGAATAGCAAGCTTGAGGTCTGAAAAATGTGGATCAGACAAAGCAACCCTTGTGGGAATAAGATTTGATACCAATATCTAATCAAAAGGGGGGTACAAAATGCAAAAATGACCCGAATATAATGCCCGACTGTCTAAGTGATTGGGCATCACTCCTTTCCCCCGTTTTATCCCAAATCCTTTTAGCCATACTATAGTTTTAATGACTTGGTGCTTCCTCCTGATAATTACTTTACCTTATTACGATATGGCAACGATGCCTTGACAACAGTAGAAGATAATTTTGCCAAAGTCTATTTTTCTATCCATAAAAAAACCTAGAACCCCTGTCCACTTACTACAGGTCAACCAACATTTATTTTAACGAGTTTAATTCATTCAGAATGTGCTGAACACGGTTAAATTTTCCAACACTTAAAAACGTTAAGCGCTTAGTTGATTAAATTTTTATATAAAAGTCCCGTCTTACTTTAATATATAATAATAAGCCAGAATAATGAGTAAGGCCACTGTTAACACTAGTAACGTCTCATCACTTTCTCCACAATAAGCAAACCTTTCCAAGTCAACCATATTGCAATACTGCCAACTGCTAGATAAACCAAGCTGCCTGTTTTACGATCAAATTCCCACTCAAGTCCGCGTAAAGTACCCATAAACAAAATCTACAAAGCCAATATACAAATTAAACACTAAACTAACTACAAATATAGAGATAAACACGAGTTAGAAGGTTAGAATAAGATAATAAGACAAGAGGAGAGGAGGGGTTGGTACGCCTGATGTCGCATGAATCAGCTGACGACAGACATTAGAGCCTACCTGTATACTGAGGGTCCTGAGGGCGCTCCCACGAAGCCAACCTCCCTCTCCACACCTTACAACTCCTTATTTCATGGATGCGCTCATTTAAAACACCTTAGACCAAAAATTCAATAACTGCGCGGAGAGGTGGAGTAACCGCCCAGTTGAACCTCTGAACAAAGACTTGCTAGAGCGTCATTTTGGAAGGCCTTTTCCACACACTAGGCTAATTCACCGCCGTAATTTCCCAACCATTGGTACGATACACCTATTGAGACATTCTCACTGCACTAAGAAGTCAATTTGTCTTCTCACGTTCGAGAATTCGGTCAACATTTTGGGAGGAGAGGAACGTGTGAGGCGAGAGTGTGAGCCAGACGTGTTGTGAGGCGGCCAGCTGATTCCCCGAGCCCGGAGTTGCTCTCGTCCCCAGCCACTCTCCCCCTAGCAACTCCTTTTTTTTTTCCTTTATACTTCAACTTGTCCTTTGTTCAGTCCATTTTATTTATCTTTGGGGCCATTAATTCTTAGAGAATATCTTCGTATAACTATATAATCTATTAAGGGTGATCAGTGTGAAGTCTACAACTATGTACTCCGAGATGTCACTACTTACAAATATATAAACGATCGATCATTTGAAAAATATGCTTGTCTAGGCTGTGTCAACTCCTTAGGTGTTCTCTAAGTTTATGATTACCATGCAGCCACTTGAAGACGATTTGTTATGTTGTAATCATTACTCCACACACGATACATTCTTATACTGACATTTAATTTCAAATTTAAAGTGTCTTTATAGAAAGACACAGTAATTTAATTGGAAACGTTTTGAACCCAGTCTATCGAGTGTCATATGAACGAGCCAAGTACAAGCACATCTTATATAACATATGTTGTACCTAATAGGCCAAGTAGACTAACAAGCCGAGTTTTCCTGAAATTATATTTTTATCTCCTTTGGAATGATAAAGCTTTCCATTTTATTATAGATGATTTCAATATTTTATTTGAGTTAAACCTAACATAGAAATTTGATCAAACCTAACCTAACCTAAGTCGGAAATTCATGTTCTTAATTAATATAATATTATAATATTAATTGTAATAAAAACAATTAAAATGCACCTGATTGAAGATGACAGATCAAACGTCTCGACAGCTTGGTCGACATCATACCTATGCATGTCCGAAACGCTATGCGTTTGTAGATATATTTTGTATATAAATAACGAGTTTAACTTAGATTAAAAGCTACATCCTTCATGGGGACAGGTGTACATCCGTTTGTGGGGGCAAGTGTACATGTATACAACGCTTGACTGCTGTAGAGGGTTCTCCGTTAGCTTCGGGCTGTTTTTAATAAGGAGGTCGGTAGTCTTCTTTGTGTTAAAGAATATGATCAGGTCTATGTTTGGGTTAGGAGTTATGCTTTTTACTCCTTTACGGATTATTTCTTTCGTTATTCTTTTTTTTATGTTCACTGTGCATGGTTGATTTGTAATATGATTTTATTAGGGGTGTTGTGGTTTCTGTTCTTGGTTCAGGATTGTACCATCGGTCCAGGTGTTGTCTTATAGTAGTATTTATTTCTGTGTTGCTATATCCATTGTTCACCAACACCTGAATTATTCTTTCAAACTCCCTCCTCACGTTGCTCCAGTCCGAGCAGTGGGTAAGCGCTCAACGAATTTAAGCGTTGAGAACACTGGCTTTGTATCTTGGGGTCACTCACTTCTACCGTTTAGGCATAGTTTGTAGGCTTGGTGTATACACTGGTGCTTACAGGTGTTCCTGTTTTTGTTATTAGTACATCCAGAAATGGCAGACTGTTTTTTTCACTATTTTCATGGGTAAATCAGAGTACTGAACTAAATGATCTAAAAAGCCATCTAGAGAGAGAGTCAGTACTCCGATTTACCCATGAAAATAGTGAAAATAACAGTCTGTTATTCCTGGATGTACTAATAACAGAAACAGGAGCATCTCTAAGCACCAGCGTATATACTAAGCCTACAAAAAAAAGGTGATTCTTCAGGCCCAACCGGAGTCCCACCAGGATTTTACCACAGGTCCGCCTACTCTCTGGCCTGCGGGTAGTTTTTTATTATTATTATTATTATTATTATTATTATTATTATTTTCTACCACAGACGTGGCCACACATTTACAATGGTAACCAGCATATATACATTTTCTTCTGTCCTCCATGGACAGGGTTAGAGAAGTAGTGGTATGCACATCCTTACGCCTCTCCGAACATAGTCCAGAACTAAAGGAACCCGTATTTACACCGAGAAATGAGGTACAGTTCTCTGTGTGTATATCGATCCTTTGTCTCTCTTGAAGGTTGATATTAACCCTGGCAGTGTGACGAGCTGCGGTCATTACTCTCACAGGTGGAATGGTCACTACTCTCCCAGGTGGAAGAACATGCAGTTTGGAGGATATAACATTTGGGTGTTATATTTTCTGCTATATTTGTTATATTTGGGTTTCTCCGAAGAGCAAACAGTTTTTAGGATGTTGTCGTGTGATATATATATATATTCCTAGACTGAGAGAGAGAGAGAGAGAGAGAGAGAGAGAGAGAGAGAGAGAGAGAGAGAGAGAGAGAGAGAGAGAGAGAGAGAGAGAGAGAGAGAGAGAGACAGTACTGTTGCTAGGCTGGACAGAGAGCCTAGGATATCCTGCTGGACAGAGAGCCTAGGATATCCTGCTGGACAAAGAGCCTAGGATATCCTGCTGGACAGAGAGCCTAGGATATCCTGCTGGACAGAGAGCCTAGGATATCCTGCTGGACAGAGAGCCTAGGGTATCTTGCTGGACATCCCCCCCCCTCTCCCTGGCCAGTGATACAGGGAACAACATTAGCTCTTAGGCCACTTGAGAGCTACCTGAGGCACTAGCAAGGGGACAATGTAAGCGCTACTGACTGCCATTCGAGATCTTTCATGTTACTGGAGTTACGTAACGTAGCGTCTTGCTCTCTCACTCACCCACTGAGGAACGGGGTCACGGGACAACAGGAGATCTGGCAATCTCTTTTGAAATACAGACGAATACTTGTGAAATATTGTTTATCTTGTGAATCTTATTTTACACACACACACATTATATATGTGTGTATATATATATATATATATATATATATATATATATATATATATATATATATATCTATATATATCTATATATATCTATATATATATATATATATATATATATATATATATATATCACTAGAAGCCTATATATATTTTGTAGGCGGTACTGTTATTGCAATAGTAATTTTTATATCATATTTGTTGTAGTTTTGTGATCTGTATATTCCCTGGTACTTGTATTACGAAGGCTATATGAATACGTGTAAATCATTTGTTATTATTTGCATTAATTTTATAATCAATGTAAGCACGAGAAAATAATTAATCGTGCTGTCAAATTAATAAGCAAACATACAGTACAAATGTGTAAATCACTGTTGAACTTAAACATATGTTTATTAATTTCTATATAAGCTACATCATTTAGTACTACGCAGCACACTTCAAAAAAGTACTTTATTAATTAAATAAGGCGGAAGGCTAAAGTTTATTGGCTCCAGACGCGATACCTGAATGTCCATAAGCAAATGAATCTCAGCATTTATTGATGTCCTCGATATCACACAAAGTTATATAATCTGAGCTAATGAAACTGATTCATCAGAGGATCTTAAGGGGACTCATCTACCCAACAAGACCAAGGCAACGTTGCCACCTGTCAGAGAGCAGCTGGGGACGAGAGTGATTATCAGCTGGCCAGCCCAAACATAAACCCGCTGCCTCAAGCCAGCGTGTCGATGACGTGAACGTTCATAGAAAACGTATCAAGAGTTTGGGATGTCTTCTGATGTAATTAATTTTGTCAATAAAGGTGTTAATAATAATAAATTCTGAGGCCAGATTCACGAAGCAGTTACGCAAGTACTTACGAACCTGTACATCTTTTCTCAATCTTTGGCGGCTTTGTTTACAGTTGTTAAACAGTTAATGAGCTCCGAAGCACCAGGAGGCTGTTTATAACAATAACAACAGTTGATTGGCAAGTTTTCATGCTTGTAAACTGTTTAATAAATATAATCAAATGCTTATGTATATAGTACTTTTATTACAAATGAAATAGAGTATGAAATTTTCAGTCTAGAAATAAACCATATTAGTTGTACTTTGATTGCTGTAAATAACTCCTACTTTCATAATAGACTTTCGCATTATAGAAATAACTTACAAATGTTCTAGGAATTGTATATTTCATTAAAAATGATCTAATACCAGAAATTGTAGCCAATTATCCTCAGTTTGGTAACTGTCGGTAGCGCTGCAGGTGATTGTAACCTTGCCAGCGCCGCCCCTGCACAGGATGGGGGCGAGGTGCATGATAAGCACATGAAAATTGTATATAACTGGTTCAACAATCTCTCTTTGTCAGCACCGCTCCCGTGCCAAGTAAGTCCACTACGGGCTCACCATAGCCCGTGCTACTTCAGATACACTGGCTGACACCAATACACTCAGAACTTTACACTTTACTGTCATACTGTCACTTATTAAACACCTTAGAGGTATTGCTATCCTCCGTATTGCTAACCACTTTCCAGGACTTGATATCTTGGTATACAAGCATCATGTTGTTGTTGTTGTTTTAGATTCAGCTACTCGGAACAAAAGTTCCAAGTAACACTATGGAAATCCACTATGGTGAGCCTATAGATTTACACACAAGCATTACTGGCGATGAGTCACATGACTTCACTATATTGATTCACACCCCTCACCATACAACTTTTTCTCCAACAGTGGATTTGGCATTTCACCAGCGACTTAACATATTCCTATATTTTCTAGCATACAACACCTCATCCCTCTCTAACGTATAAGTTTGCATATACACATATGCAGCCATTATCCAAGTACTGGGACCTCAAAGGTGTAAACAAAGACATATTTAATCCTACAAACACGATATGAACTTACAAATGTCTGGTATATAGTAATTTCTAAATTTTCATGATTAATAAGGTTTTCTCACTAGGCTGCGAAGGGCTCTGAAGAAGCAATATGTCGTGTCTTCACGTCAGGTGAAGACTGGAAGGACCGTTGTCACCAGGAGGGTGTGTTAAGAAGCTGAGGTCGCCAGAACTGGAAGAGATGTTAAGAGCACCAGACAATACTGAGACACGTCTCTACAGCCGAACGTGGGCAACACAACTGGGCGACGCAAGTTGTGCTGGAGGCTACTGTGACTTTTAACTGACCATAGGGTTATTTGGGAAGTCACTGGCTTATGTGGACAGTACTTTCTGTATTTAACTGTGGGAAAGGTGATTTGTGGACAGTACTGTCTGTATTGAACTGTGGAATAGGTGATTTGTGGACAGTACTGTCTGTAATGAACTGCGGAAAAGGTGATTTGTGAACAGTACTGTCTGTAATGAACTGTGGAATAGGTGATTTGTGAACAGTACTGTCTGTATTTAACTGTGGAAAAGGTGACTTGTGGACAGTGCATTTAACTGTGGAAAAGGTGACTTGTGGACAGTGTATTTAACTGTGGAAAAGGTAATTTTGTGTAATCAGCGAAATTACAAGCCAAATATAGAATTTTACTTTGGCCATCTACCGCCTGGTTGTAAATACACACCTCAGGTCCTCTGACCATCACACAAAACATCAGGCGTCACGATTACAGACTCAATATGACCCAGACTGTAAACATTATCATCATCCTCACCAGTCCTATTAGGTATCAGTATATCTTCAAAAGATGTCAATTACTTGGCTTTACTTTACCCTTACGTATGAATAGATAACAACAGCTGAAATAAAATTATGAGGATTTTATCATATTAATAGAAAAACGGCAAATCACACATATACACAAGTTAGCTACAAATAGTGAGGTTTTTGAAGATTTTTGTTGTGTAATCAAAACAGGGAACTGCCTCAATCTGTAGTGATAACGGCGATAGATAATTCTAATCAAACAAGAGCTAATTTTTGTAATTGTTCAGAGATCGAGTCCATATCCCCATTACTTGGTTCTCATAAATTCCGGTGGAAAAATCCTGCTCTATATACCATAGGCTATTTTATAAGCGGTCCGTGCCGTTCCTCAGCTTCTCGCTCAACACTAATAGAACTTAAACACTTGTTGTAATGCTTGGAAATGCATGCCATTTTACTCCCCTCCCCACTACTCTGCCACATCCCTCTTCACTACTCTGCTACATCCTTCCCCGCTACTCTGTCACACCCCTTCCCACACCTCTCATGTTGAATGGAATGGGAACACTTACACAGTTGGACACAATTCACTCACTTACACTGCTGAACACAACCCACTAATCTATTTTGTGACACAATACACTGACCTACACAGTTCAACACAATATATACATGTTCTGCATGTATTATATTAAAAGTGCCACTGTACTTTTAACTGATAAATGACACATTTTACTCCCCCTCTCATAAGTTAAACCCAACAATATGTTACAACCGAGAACCCTGCACATACATGTTACATATTATTTACTAAGTACAACCACAAGCACATTAGTGAATAAATATATGCATTTTGCTTCACAGAAATCAATCCACTGGTTTCATGTACAATCTTTCTCTAGGTAGCTTCATGGCAGAGAGTACACCTGTAGCAGGGTAAGGAAAACACTTGTAATTGCTGCATTTATTATGACAAGTGAAAGAGTTCTCTGCCCCTCACATACAAAGCAAAAATATTGTGGTCATTTCTCGACACGTAATGAAAATGTTAGTTTCATTTAGCTACTCAGTGCCTTAAACTCAATGGGGTGGAGTGTTTTTTTTACTCTTAAAAATGTTCTACAGTCTTTAAATAACACATCACAATTAATGTCTGAAGTAGGCTGGAAAGTTAAAAGGAATATGATTTGTGCCAATGATGACATCTCTTGTATAAAAAATGTATGGAGTCCATCCAATGGAGTTGGAAAGCCTGACGTCATAGATCGATTGGCCTTACTTACAGGAAAGGCTTACAGGAAAGACAACACAGAATATGACTTTGCATTATCTAATGCAATTAAAAACCATACAAATTAAAGAGATTACTTCGGATTTAGAAGAACTAAGAAAAATACAAAGACTTGATAGCTGCAGTAGTAAAATCTATGCAAACATCTGTAATAATTAGTATTTGTATGATGAGCAGAGATCGAACCAGACAATGTGATGTAGATGTTATGAGAATTGGCTTTGGCTATAGACACATCTTGGCAGGTTAGTGAGGCTGAACCACTACTACAATATTCAGCCTGTAACAAACCGTTAAGGTATTCACTTGAACGCTACATTATTCAATGTGAAACTATAAAAGATTCTAGACCTCCTGGCCTATTGCACAATCAACTATGTGGCTACTTTACTGATATATTGGAAGACATCCTAACCATTTATTGCAAATTTCCTTGTCCATATTAAAGAATGGAGAACAGGGAAAAGGAGACAAAGAAGCAACAAATGGAAAAGAAGAAAATAGGGAAAGGATATAGTTTTTTTTCACTTGGTGACAACGAACAATAGAAAGTTGCATTTTCAAACTCGTAAATTCAGTAGATAAATATAGTAGATTGTAATCTTATGAAATATATTTTTAAGTTTACAATTTAGACCTATTGTCTTATGCATGATCCTTTGTCTTGTATGACAGTGAATACGAGCAGCACCTCACTGCAATAAGACCTAATTGAATTACTCCGATTATGCAAAATTGTATAGTAATTTTGTCATTAAAGATATCAGTAATAGTTATCTTCATCGCCTTGTACTGTGATTTTTTGTAATAAAGTTCAAAGTTTATTTACAATTTTTTGTATAGAAACCGGATTTGATGTAGCATTCAATCTTAATTAGGTCTGAAGACTATCTTGTTATGATATAACATATATAGCATTAGCAGGCGAGGAGTCACAATAATGTGGCTGAAGTATGTTGACCAATTCACACACTAGAAAATGAAGGGATGACGATGTTTCGGTCCGTCCTGGACCATTCTCATGGTCCAATAATCGACTTGAGAATGGTCCAGGACGGACCGAAACGTCGACGTCCCTTCACCTTCTAGTGTGTGGTTTGGTCAACACATTTCAGCCACGTTATTGTGACTCCTCGCCTGCATACGAAACTCAAGAAGTTTACTTAACGCGAATATGGAACAAATGTCATGGATAAGCGTTGGTGAAATATAGAGCGCAAGTAAGAAGTATGAATGAAGAGAATACGTTGTTGTTGTTGTTTTAGATTCAGCTTCTCGGAACAAAAGTTCCAAGTAGCACGGGCTATGGTGAGCCCGCAGTGGACTTACTTGGCACAGGAGTGAAACCAGCGGGGCTATAACTGCAGAGAATATATCACAACAACAACAAACTCGCATCCATGAAATGAATATGACGACGTTCCGGTCCGTCCTGACTCTTTCCAAGTCGTGAAATATGATTATTACTTAAGGTGTCCATGAGACAAAAAGAGCTGCTCTAGGGACTGAGGCACCAGGGACTGAGGCTCCAGGGACTGAGGCACCAGGGACTGAGGCACCAGGGACTGAGGCACCAGGGACTGAGGCACCAGGGACTGAGGCTCCAGGGACTGAGGCTCCAGGGACTGAGGCTGTAGGGACTGAGGCACCAGGGACTGAGGCTCCAGGGACTGAGGCACCAGGGACTGAGGCACCAGGGACTGAGGCTCCAGGGACTGAGGTTCCAGGGACTGAGGCACCAGGGACTGAGGCACCAGGGACTGAGGCTCCAGGGACTGAGGCTGTAGGGACTGAGGCACCAGGGACTGAGGCACCAGGGACTGAGGCACCAGGGACTGAGGCACCAGGGACTGAGGCTCCAGGGACTGAGGCTCCAGGGACTGAGGCACCAGGGACTGAGGCTCCAGGGACTGAGGCACCAGGGACTGAGGCTCCAGGGACTGAGGCACCAGGGACTGAGGCACCAGGGACTGAGGCTCCAGGGACTGAGGCTCCAGGGACTGAGGCTGTAGGGACTGAGGCACCAGGGACTGAGGCATCAGGGACTGAGGCTGTAGGGACTGAGGCACCAGGGACTGAGGCTCCAGGGACTAAGGCACCAGGGACTGAGGCACCAGGGACTGAGGCTCCAGGGACTGAGGCACCAGGGACTGAAGCTCCAGGGACTGAGACACCAGGGACTGAGGCTCCAGGGACTGAGGCACCAGGGACTGAGGCACCAGGGACTGAGACACCAGGGACTGAGGCTCCAGGGACTGAGGCACCAGGGACTGAGGCTGTAGGGACTGAGGCTGTAGGGACTGAGGCTCCAGGGACTGAGGCTCCAGGGACTGAGGCACCAGGGACTGAGGCTCCAGGGACTGAGACACCAGGGACTGAGGCTCCAGGGACTGAGGCACCAGGGACTGAGGCACCAGGGACTGAGACACCAGGGACTGAGGCTCCAGGGACTGAGGCACCAGGGACTGAGGCACCAGGGACTGAGGCTCCAGGGACTGAGACACCAGGGACTGAGGCTGTAGGGACTGAGGCTGTAGGGACTGAGGCTGTAGGGACTGAGGCTCCAGGGACTGAGGCACCAGTGACTGAGGCACCAGGGACTGAGGCTCCAGGGACTGAGGCTCCAGGGACTGAGGCACCAGGGACTGAGGCTCCAGGGACTGAGGCACCAGGGACTGAGGCACCAGGGACTGAGGCTCCAGGGACTGAGGCTCCAGGGACTGAGGCACCAGGGACTGAGGCACCAGGGACTGAGGCTCCAGGGACTGAGGCACCAGGGACTGAGGCACCAGGGACTGAGGCTCCAGGGACTGAGGCTCCAGGGACTGAGGCTCCAGAGACTGAGGCTCCAGTGACTGAGGCTCCAGGGACTGAGGCACCAGTGACTGAGGCTCCAGGGACTGAGGCACCAGGGACTGAGGCACCAGGGACTGAGGCACCAGGGACTGAGGCTCCAGGGACTGAGGCACCAGGGACTGAGGCTCCGAGCTGGTTCCTAATCAGTGGAAGTGTTAGACTGAGTTTCGTCTTCATTGGCGTAGTTAATCTTGACAGGCGGCGCCTCCGTCTCAATGTCTCGTACCTTCTCCGGCAGTTCGCTAGGGCTCGGCTCCGACAGTAAACGGGACATCTGGAATATTCAGACACGAACACTGAAGACAATCATATAAAAACCTATAAAAAAAACTGATCTATTAAAACCAAAACAATAGGCTTTAAATGTGTCGCAGCTACGTACCTCAACATGCCTGGTAAGCAGTGGTACGAACTCGAAGTCATTATCATCCTCGCCAAAAGGATTGAGGAGAGCTTCGGCGACCTTTATCCAGCCAACATAGAAAAACAGTTGAAGGAGGGCAAAGATCGGGATGTAGAGATCTATGGTGTGGTTGGCGTAGCCTTGGTCCGTCCTCAGAAACTGCTCCCCCAACACGGAGAAGAAGAAGAAGGAGTACACCGCTATGGTCACAACCTGTGTGAGCAAGGACGATGTATTATGCATCAGCATTGTTGTTGTTTAAGATTTGCTACTGGGAACAAGAAGTTTCAAGTAGCACGGGCTATGGTGAGCCCGTAGTACATGCATCAGCAGCTGCAGGTAAGCTAGTACAGTATATGCCTGAATACTGTCATATACTGTAATTAAAATAAGTTCTTGTAATGTTACCAGTAAATAGGCATTTCATTATAATTCGGCTAAACTTGTTTTTACACACAGAAATCACAATAGCGTGATGCATCAAATGAACAAATTCACAAGGGCCGTGACGAGGGTTCGAACCTATACGAACTTACGTCTGAAATTATCCCAGACGCTGCCTTAATCGACTGAGCTACCATGTCGTAGCTCAGTTGATTAAGGCAGCGTCTGGGATGCTCTCGGACGTAGGTTCGAATCCTCGTCATGGCCCTTGTGGATTTGTTCAGTGGGACGAGGGGCTTGCACAAACGTGAGTAAACTCTCATAACAATACACTCCAAAGTTAAAAATGGGGAGCTCCGCTAAGATGAGGTACCCTGTCATATGTCACCTCATGCTTTGCCTCACTTGGGCCATAGTAGGAAGCAATTTTATGGACCGGAATCCATTTATCTTTTCTCATTTTTCATAGATAGCTCTCTGGGCACCCTCTAAAATTCATGTGGTGGGCGACCAGGCCTGTGAATCTACTCCTCTGGAAGTCTTGACCCCTTATGGACATTCCTATTATATATGTTGTGACATCACACATAAATGTGGAATGGATTTACACATAATATAGAGTTATCCAACATAGTCTGGGAGTGACCCGCTTCTCGTTCCTCACCTCCACTTAGGTGAACTGTTCTCTAAAGCCTATGAAATATTATATAATTCTATTTTACATTATGAAATTTTATATGTAATTTGAAAGGATGTTAGAATTAGAAGTGCTATATCGGGTAAATCATAACCGATAAATTAATCTAAGCAAAATTTTTTTTGTAAAACCCAAAAAATAAAATTATTGCCCACAACCAACATCAGTTCTCAGTCAAATCTTTCGTAAGTCTCGCACCCGTGACGTTATATTAATATTATATTTTTTTAATATTACAATATAATATGATATATAATATAATATTTAATTATAATATTTAACATTTAATTTAATAATTTATTTAATTTAATTTAATTTAATGTTAATTACTTATAATATTTAATTACATTCAATATTTCTGTTCTTGTACTGAAATCTTCGTTTAACTCTTCAATATTCTGGACCAAGAGACAGTGCTATACAGCCTTACTGGTTCAATATTGTCTTCTGATATTTTTAACATAAAACAAGTATTATTGTTGAACTGAAAGTAAACAAGGAGTGTATTGTACTCGTGTTAGTCTAACATTCTATACAAATAGACCAGGACCCAGATTCACGAAGCAGTTACACAAGTACTTACGAACGTGTCCATCTTTCCTCAATCTCTGGCGGCTTTGGTTACATTTATTAAACAGTTTACAAGCATGAAAACTTGCCAATCAACCGTGGCTGTTGTTATAAACAGCCTCCTGGTGCTTCGGAGCTCATTAACTTTTTAATAATTGTAAACAAAGTCGCCAAAGATTGAGAAAAGATGTACAGGTTCGTAAGTGCTTGCGTAACTGCTTCATGAATCTTTCCCCTGGTGTTCATAACTTTCTTACGATTACAGATCCTTAGTGAAATGCCCAATATGTCCCCATACTCTCCCCTTTCCCCCTGTTCAAATCACCATAATCATCACCAGCCCTATTAATTACCATTATGATTTGAATGTGTCAATAGCTTAGTTTTACTTTACATATGGATTGCTAGGAAAACAACAGCTGAAATAATAGCATAAGGATTTTATAATATATTTATAGAAAACATGCAAATCATAAACTAGTTTCAACAAGCGAGCATTTTGCTACTATTTTTGAACGATCAAAATAAGGAATTGAGGTACAGGAACTGACGGTGAGTTAATTCTAATCTAACCACAACTTTTTTGATTATTCAGAGATCGATTCCCATATTCCCAAGGAGTATGGTTGCCCTGGTTAACAACTCCTGCTATAGACAACTCTATACAGGTACAGACATATTGGCTTAAGAGTTTTTTTTAATAATTATACAACCTTTGATGTTTATATAGAAAATGAGCCATAATAACGTGGCTGAAGATATAATAACCAAACCAAACATTAGAACATGAAGAAACGACGACGTTTCGCTCCGTCCTGGACTTGTTAATGGTTTAAAACGGACAGAAACGTCATATTCTTCATTTTCTGATGTAGTGGTTTGAAGTGGTTCATTGTACTGTACTTCATTTTCTGATGAAGTACAGTGGTTTGGTCATGACACCGTCGATCTTTGCTGACCTGAGTATAGACGAGGGGGACATTGTACTCGTGCCAGCCCAAGAGCCCCCCACACTTGGCCCTGATGGTGATGATCTCTGCGGTGATGGCTCTCTGGCCGGCATCACTGACCAGGCCGTCTCTCTTGGCCCGGTCAACGGTCTTGCACGCCCACAATATCGGCGCCCACGCGTTGTGCACGCTAGACTTGCTCTTCAACGTCTCTAGGATCTCCTGCTCGCTCTCAGTCAAGAAACCTGTCCACGTGAGCAATGAAAATTGAGTTAATAAGCGAAAAACTTATAACACACTTCTACGACAATTAATATCACTGCAGGGGGTAGAAATAGCCTAAGCTACTCTATCCCTTTGAGATGTATTTCTTTCTTATCTCAATAAACATACTTGAACTTAAACTTGAAATATCACTGCTACTGTTACAAATGATGACAATAATAATAATAATAATAACATAATTCAGCCATAAATCAGAGAAATCCTGATTGTGTAGTTAATGATATTTTAGTAATGGATGTCTATATACTGACCTCAACTCTTATCTCACACACTGAGCACTGATTCCATAATTAAGTTTTCCGGTTGGACAACTGAATGTGTTTTGGGGGTCCTGGGGTTTACCCCCAGAACCCCCTTGTACAAACATATCCAAGGTTGAGGGGTGTGATGGACCAACAGTCCCCTGCGGGGATTCCTAATTCTTATGTACCATCTTAGCCACTTCAGCTATCTAAGCGAGTAAGATGTATTAAGGACCAATACAATTTTCGCCCTGCTAGTCAGACCATTCAGTGGTTCAGGGCCAAGCGACTTACTGTGGACTCAAAGCCTAACTTTGAGTGTGGACTCAAAGCCTAACTTTGAGTGTGGACTCAAAGCCTAACTTTGAGTGTGGACTCAAAGCCTAACTTTGAGTGTGGACTCAAAGCCTAACTTTGAGTGTGGACTCAAAGCCTAACTTTGAGTGTGGGCTCAAAGCCTAACTTTGAGTGTGGACTCAAAGCCTAACTTTGAGTGTGGGCTCAAAGCCTAACTTTGAGTGTGGACTCAAAGCCTAACTTTGAGTGTGGGCTCAAAGCCTAACTTTGAGTGTGGACTCAAAGTTCACACACCCACAATTACCATTTCATTAAGCCTCGTGCAGGGCTCAAGAAAAAAGATGCCAGAGACTATAGAGAACCTGATTACCGAGGAGGACTTGAAGTGGCGACGAATACAAATTTGGAATTCGACATTTACATTTGTGGTTTACACAGGTGCCTAACATACCGGCCATTACCAGGCTGTTGAGTGTTGGGTGCTTTCTCTTCACCACTGGAGAGATGATGGTGAAGGTGAGGGCAATGGTGAGGTTGACGTAGCGAAGTATGGTGCTTCTTGCCTCCCTCGCTGCTGCATTCTGTATAAGACATTCAGGGTTAGCACCTGCTGTATTCTACAAGGTCGGCAGAGGTACAATACATATCACTTATTTAATTAATAAATACTTCCCGAACCGCTATGCGTGTTAGTGGCTGTGCATGAATGTAAAAATACGTCTTATGTAATCTCACCAACCCATTGTATCTTCTTGCATATATATATTATTATTATTATTATTATTATTATTATTATTATTATTATTATTATTATTATTATCATAGAATACATTTTGGTAGCAGTCTGGGATACATCAAAACTTAATTAGTTTGTTAAACACCGATACAGCCTCTGGAAAGTGAAATTTTGCTCCACAAGCCTATTGCATTTCTATCACAAAATATTTATATACAAAGGACATTTGCGTACAAATGATAGAATGAGGAAACCTTACCATTAATAACGGTAGTACAGATCATGTCGCCCTGTGAGGAAGGCCTGTGATTTATAATGAACTATAATGAATGGTGGACATACTGCAAAAAATATTTGACTTCTATACCAGAATACAAACAAGAGATAATGTTATCTTATATTACAACGCCAAATACTAGAATATATATAGCAAAAGAGAGCAACGTTTAAACAACAAATAACAATGTTATATTGCCATAGGTTCTCTCAAGCGTGTGTGAATAAAGAATTTATTTTATTATTTATTTATTTATTTATATACAAGAAGGTACATTGGCTTTGTGAGAATACATAGCATGGTGTTTACAATCTTGTAAAGCCACTAGTACGCGCAGCGTTTCGGGCAGAATGTATTGGCGATGGATATGATAACACAATGTATTGATATAAGAATGATTACATAATACAATTGTCGATAAGTATGATTGCATAATGGGAGCCTATGATGATACATATACACATGGAGCCCCAGGGTAGGTAGAGCAAGGGGGAGTTTACCTGGCCTGGGATGCAGGGTAGGTAGAGCAAGGGGGAGTTTACCTAGCCTGGGATGCAGGGTAGGTAGAGCAAGGAGGAGTTTACCTGCCTGGGATGCAGGGTAGATAGACCAAAGGAGGAGTTTACCTGTCTGGGAAGCAGAGTAGATAGACCAAAGGAGGAGTTTACCTGGCATGGGCTGCAGGGTAGATAGAGCAACCTGGCCTGGGATGCAAGGTAGGTAGATTAAAGGAGGAGTTTACCTGGCCTGGGATATGTGTAGCGGTGAGTATGGCAGTGTTGTCGGGGAAGGGTAGAGTCTGGTATACACCCCACCACCGGTTTACCACAAGGGACACGAAGAAGCCCAGCACAAAGGACACCGGGATCAGGTTACGGAACCGGGAACAGTGGATCACAAGTCTCTCAAACATTCTGCAAGGCATCCGGTAAGAAGCTTGAGAGTGATATATTGACAATAAAAAGTCATACAGGGAAATACTTCCTGTTACGGGAATAGGAAATGTATCATTTGTAAACTTTGTTCTAGTAAACCCTTGACATAATCACCTTATTCATAACTGGTTTTATTCGACTTAGTCTACAATATTATTATTTTATTACAAAAATTAATAAATCTAATAGTAATTATTATAATTATACAATATAATAAAAATGTCCTTTGTGACATATATATAGTGAATAAATGGAAATAATTATAGTGACAATAAAAGATACATTATATATACTTTATTTAAGTCATCTGCCTTAAATATAGAGATAAAGCTGATACTGAAATTTTATTTTAAGATATCAATTTAATAGCATTAATTAATTAGAGCGGTGAGATACATATTGGAAAATACAGGAAATCAATAATGTATCACAAATTTTAAAGATGAGGCATTTAATTTATAGAAATTTCCACACTTCTGAGTTTTACAAAACTAACAGGATCAGAGGCTTCCCTGTGTCACTCCCTTGAGCACAGAGTAACAGTGATCTGATTTCAACAGGATTTAAACGGCTTGGGCCAGATTCACGAAGGAGTTACGCAAGCACTTGCGAACGTGTACATCTTTCCTCAATCTTTGACGGCTTTGGTTACATTTATTAAACAGTTTACAAGCATAAAAACTTCACAATCAACTGTTGTTATTGTTATAAACAGCCTCCTGGTGCTTCGGAGCTCATTAACTGTTTAATAATTGTAAACAAAGCCGCCAAAAATTGAGAAAAGATGTACAGGTTTGTAAGTGCATGCGTAACTGCTTCGCAAATCTGGCTCCTGTTTTCGAACACATTGGGTAGTGGGCTAGTGAGTACTCAATCACAGAATGTAATCGAAGCGCTTTTGCAATGGCATTGCAATTCTAATCAGCTTATCCCTGGTGAATTTCTAATGCCTGATCTATGTTGATGTTGGTTACTAGCGCTGTTGTTTACAACTATTAGTGGCTCTGTTGCTTGACCACTGTTAGTGGCTCTGTTGCTTAACCACTGTTAGTGGCTCTGTTGCTTGACCACTGTTAGTGGCTCTGTTGCTTGACCACTGTTAGTGGCTCTGTTGTTTCACCACTGTTAGTGGCTCTGTTGCTTGACCATTGTTAGTGGCTCTGTTGCTTGACCACTGTTAGTGGCTCTGTTGTTTCACCACTGTTAGTGGCTCTGTTGCTTGACCACTGTTAGTGGCTCTGTTGCTTGACCACTGTTAGGGGCTCAGTTGCTTGACCACTGTTACAGGGGCTCTGTTGCTTGACCACTGTTAGGGGCTCTGTTGCTTAACCACTGTTAGTGGCTCTGTTGCTTGACCACTGTTAGTGGCTCTATTGCATGACCACTGCTACAGGGGCTCTGTTGCTTGACCACTGTTAGTGGCTCTGTTGCTTAACCACTGTTAGTGGCTCTGTTGCTTGACCACTGTTAGTGGCTCTGTTGCTTGACCACTGTTAGTGGCTCTGTTGCTTGACCACTGTTAGTGGCTCTGTTGCTTAACCACTGTTAGTGGCTCTGTTGCTTGACCACTGTTAGTGGCTCTGTTGCTTGACCACTGTTAGTGGCTCTGTTGCTTGACCACTGTTAGTGGCTCTGTTGCTTAACCACTGTTAGTGGCTCTGTTGCTTGACTACTGTTAGTGGCTCTAAATATTACCCAATATTGTCGTCCTAGATGAGGTTGACTAACCTGTTGGTGTTGGCGAGGCGTTATAGTTGAGTTTACCTTTGTAAGTCGCTGGGGAACGCGAAGCGGTAGAGGAGAGACAAGGTGTAGTAGAGGACGATGTAGAGAAGCATATCCTGCCACACCATCTTGTACACACTGCCTCGCCACCTGTAGTGAAGTGTACTCACACTCAAGGTACTCCTTCAGGGAGTAACAGGGGTACTAGCAGTACTCCTTGTACTCTGATAGCCACCAACAGAGTACAAGGAATACTCCTCATCATTATCATCAGCTTGATAATACATCAGAGCTGACACAACTTAACTGATAGTATTGATCTTGATGCAGCCTATCATTTGTATATTGTTTGAGTTAATAAATCACTGTTATGACTGATATTATTATTATTATTAACAGGTGTCCCTGGCAACGGGTCGACCTTAAGCGAGAATGGAGTGGAGGAGGGGAAGACACAAGAGGGGGAGGGGGGGAAGCAGAGACACTTACTTGAGCAGGAGCTTCCAGAAGGAGCCAAAGCCACCTCGACTGGCAACCTTATCTGTGTAGTGGACGGTCATGGCGGCGGAGGACCTTGTGGAGGACGACTGTAGTAGAGGACGACTGTGGTGGAGGACGACTGTGGTGGTCGTCTAGAGCAGATCTAGAGCAACAACACACAACGATTAGTCCATGAGGAGTGCGACGTGTCCAGGTCTTAGATCATGAGAAAGCGCCAAGCCGTTACGACTATATAGCACTGGGAAAGGGTCAGGACAAGGATTTGGGATGGGACGGAGGGGAAGGAATGGTGCCCAACCACTTATGGACGGTCGGGGATATGTGAAGCCTCTCCAAAAGCATTCGTAAACATACAGATATACACCAGCTTGTTCTTCAGCCCTCCTGAGCATACTGATGAATGTATGAACCTCACATCAATTTATACCCAAGAGGATCTTATAGCGCGTTCTCGGCTCCCAGCCTAGCATCTCGGGTTCAATCTTACACAGGGTCAGAGATGGTTGGGCACGTTTCCTTTCACCTGATGACTCTGTTTACCTTTAGTAAATGGATACCCGTGAGTTAGGCAACTGTAAAGGTTACAGCCCAAAGACTGTCATCATTAGCTGGGGCTTAGGAGGACCTCGATAAGACAAACAAGCCTCTTGCACCCGTCTGTGGCAAAGCAAATCAAGTGAGTTTATGATTCATCTTTTAAAGCAATATATAAATTGGACTCTACCAACCGTGACAACGTCTGATACCATACTACTTGTGTAAAGGAAGAAATGTATATGTTTATCTCTCAGAATATTCTAATGAGGTTTAATGAGAGAGAGAGAGAGAGAGAGAGAGAGAGAGAGAGAGAGAGAGAGAGAGAGAGAGAGAGAGAGAGAGAGAGAGAGAGAGAGAGAGAGAGAGAGAGAGAGAGAAAGAGAGAGAAGAGAGAGAGAGAGAGAGAGAGAGAGAGAGAGAGAGAGAGAGAGAGAGAGAGAGAGAGAGAGAGAGAGAGAGAGAGAGAGAGAGAGAGAGAGAGAGAGAGAGAGAGAGAGAGAGAGAGAGAGAGAGAGAGAGAGAGAGAGAGAGAGAGAGAGAGAGAGAGAGAGAGAGAGAGAGGGAGAGAGAGAGAGAGGGGGGGGGGAGGAGACACAGTTAAGTGTCTACTGTAGCGGAGACGTGCTTAATGCAACATGTAAATATATAGCTTAATAAATTTTGCAATTAATTCATGAGTGCTTTAACTTTAAACGTTATCTTCTGTACCACTGTACTTGTACTGTTGTTACAGCACTTTGTCAACTGGATATTATCAATTACAAAAATGTATTAAATATACACTTTTAAGCCACTTAACCCATGCAAATGTTCAAGCTGTATACTGACTCACAAGACTGGTCACCACACATACACTGACTCACAAGACATTGGTCACTACACACATATACTAACTCACAAGACACTGGTCACCACACACACTGACTCACAAGACACTGATCACCACACATACACTGACTCACAAGACTGGTCACCACACATACACTGACTTACAAGACTGGTCACCACACATACACTGACTTACAAGACTGGTCACCACACATACACTGACTCACAAGACTGGTCACCACACATACACTGACTTACAAGACTGGTCACCACACATACACTGACTTACAAGACTGGTCACCACACATACAATGACTCACAAGACTGGTCACCACACATACACTGACTCACAAGACACTGGTCACCACACATACACTGACTCACAAGACTGGTCACCACACATACACTGACTTACAAGACTGGTCACCACACATACACTGACTCACAAGACACTGATCACCACACATACACTGACTCACAAGACACTGATCACCACACACACACTGTCTCACAAGACACTGGAGCAGTGTGAGCCACACCCACCCACAAGAATGTCAACAATACAGGTTCCTCTAACACCTCATTCATAACACTGTCTCACGCGGGAAGATGACTAAATGGTACCTTCTAATACATATAAATATATACCAAATAAAATACACGGAGAATAGTATACTTTCAAGGATACTCACTCAGTTCAGTAGTGTTTTCCTCCGAATAATTTCAGTTGAATTCCAACATTTTTGCTGTCACTGGCTGTGTATGGAACTGATATTAATACTGTAATCTGCAGTGTATGGTTACAGTGAGGTACTGTATGCTGCTTGCGTGTTACAGTGGTGGCCTGGCCACACAGCTCAGGAGATCCCAGGCAACACTTCTACCCTCAACTCCAGCAACTGTCAACTCCTTGCCCGCCGCCAGAACAATAATCGTGCACTAGCAACTCTTTAGCCAATGGCAAGAGTTTCCCTTTCTGAGTGACGGTGACGCTAAGTGATGCTCCTCTACTTTATACGATGTATTATACAGTGGGATTCTATAATTATGTTCCAGTGTCTGCGGGGATTAATAATATTGATCACAAGTGGTCAATATGTCGGTATAATATAACATTTAACATGTCATGATGATGTCATCTCTTATATTTTGATATGCATTTGTTTATTTCTTTAGTAATTGTAATTGTGCTTTGGTAATTTGCTGGAGATTGTGATGAGTGACGGGGCCATGCTGGCCGCTATGTTAAAAGGTAGTTACGTTCACAATCTTGTTGTCACCATTAATCTGGAAAATCTAATCTTTACAGGGGATTGGAAACACCGCCAGTTTAGGGGTCACGACATTCAGAACGAAGAGGATATTAGTGGGATGAGAAACTGACGAAGCTAACTGGAAATGCTTTTGCAGTGAGTGTGTGGGAGTGTGGGAGAGGGAGCGGCATACAGGATGCTTCTCCCATGCCGTGGGTGTGTGGGAGTGTGTGGGAGAGGGAGGGGCATACAGGATGCTTCTTCCAGCTCCAGTGTTCGTATCCCGCTGTGCACTGTTCTCTCACACACTCCCTGGGGTAGAGGAGAACATGTGTATATCCTCGTTACTTTTGTAAATGATCCCGCCTGTGGTAGAGAAAAGAACCTGTCTCTCTCCGTCTATGACAGGATGTCTCTCACAGGATCTGTCTCTCTCCACTCTTCTTATGACAGGATGTCTCTCACAGGATGCCTCTCTCTCTTTCCATCCTCTTTATCTCAGGATACTTCTCCCAAGGTCCCGGTCACCATCTCTACCCTATACTTATCAACTTGGAGCCAAGTCATGTAGGAATGTCAGAGAATGAAACTACACATGAAGTTGCAAAACTTGCCGCTAAGATAAATTGACAAGATGAACAACCCAGCGGGTTTTCTTCCTACTGGAGCTGTTATACAGGCTGCTCTGGCGATATGAGTGACGCTGCCCAATAAACTAGGCCTTAAGGGGACAAAATTAAAATTAAGATGAAGATGTAGACATTTACATACCATACAGTTTAGCACAGGTTAAGAAAAGAATTTTAGATAGAGCAATGTTTGTTATTTTTATTTATGTATATATACAAGAGTTTTTACATTCTTGTACAGCCACCAGCACGCGTAGCGTTTAGGGCAGGTCCTTAATCCTAATTATCCCTGGAATACGACCCGCCAAATCGTTTAACAACCAGGTACCCATTTTACTGCTGGGTGAACAAAGGCTACAGTTAAGGACTGGCGCCCTGTCAATCCTCCCCGGCCAGGATACGAACCCAGACCAAAGCGCTTGCGAAACGCCAGGCGAGTGCGTTACCATTCCACAACGGGGACTGGTAAATGTAGATGTAGAAGTTACCATAGAGCAGGCAACATCAACATCAGCCATCTATGAACCAATTATTTTGATGAAAGGGACCAATAGAAGAATAGAAGTGCACTTACATCTCGCCAGGCTTGCGTACCCATGTGCAAAGGAAGTAAACTTAATTACCGCTATCAGAAGAAAAGAGGAAATGTTAGAGCATTGTGAAGATATGCCAAACAGACCACTGGAACATTACCTAACACAGTGCACAGTTACAAGCCGAAGAAGAACACTTAACCACCGAGACTTAACTACTCAGAAGTTTTTACACACAGTGAACATCGCCTTGTTACAAGAGAGGGCCAGGTATCAGGGCATAATCTACCTGTACCGTAGATGCGATCATTTACAACACTCGCGATCATTGTAAATGATTTACATTTACGTCAAGATCCGCTACAGCGGCTCATAACCCACCATCTTACTTTAATGAGTATATTATGGGCCCCCCAGACCCCTCCTGTGGACGGTGACAGGTGTCACACCCTCCTGTATTAACCTTGTAGCTGTGCTTGCGGGGGTTGAGCTCCGGCTCTTTGGTCCCGAACATGTTGGATGGAAGTGGACACCATACCCATCTTGTGGGCGGTAGTGGAAAGGGTTACAGAGGCACATAATGGTCTCAGGGACTGAACCCCACAGTTCATTTAGCTAAGCAAGTTACAATCTTGATGAGCTGGTTACAAAATTCAGTATAAGTCGTCACATCATCAACAGCTTCGAGATCGACCACAAGTACAGTTTCTAAGTTAAGCAACTGACATATGTGGAGAGCTAGTGTCACAATTGATATGTTTGTCCTGCACACCGCCCCCCATCCAGTGGGCAGCGGTGGATAGGTTACAATCACTTAGTTACTACCTACAGTTAGTAAACTGAGGATATTTGGCTCAAATTTCTAGTAGCAGATAATTTTGAGTGAAATATTTACACATTTCTTTAACATTTGTCATAGCGTTCTCTCTGATTTCACGTATCGCGCAGGGTGGAGGTGGATAGATTAGTGAGCGGTAAGCAATACTAACGTCAGTTGGTAACTTAGGGAGACGTGGCTAAAATTTGTGGTAAAATATAATTTTAAATAAAATATTTGGAAATTGAACATTAGTGATAAAATTACGACTGTTCACATCAAACTGTTCTCATTCCCACACATAGTGATGGAGAGTGTACGAACATTCCCACACACACACACAGTGATGCAAGTGTACGAATAGTCTTCCCGACACTGTTTACATTTGGTCAAACCAACACCCGCAGGAGTGGCACTTAAGCCACTTAGGTTCGATAGCAGTTGGCATTACACATGAGAACAGTGAGGACCAGGAGTGTGAGGACCAGGAGTGTGAGGGACCAGGAGTGTGAGGACCAGGAGTGTGAGGGACCAGGAGTGTGAGGGACCAGGAGTGTGAGGACCAGGAGTGTGAGGACCAGGAGTGTGAGGGACCAGGAGTGTGAGGGACCAGGAGTGTGAGGACCAGGAGTGTGAGGACCAGGAGTGTGAGGGACCAGGAGTGTGAGGGACCAGGAGTGTGAGGACCAGGAGTGTGAGGACCAGGAGTGTGAGGACCAGGAGTGTGAGGGACCAGGAGTGTGAGGACCAGGAGTGTGAGGGACCAGGAGTGTGAGGGACCAGGAGTGTGAGGGACCAGGAGTGTGAGGGACCAGGAGTGTGAGGGACCAGGAGTGTGAGGGACCAGGAGTGTGAGGGACCAGGAGTGTGAGGGACCAGGAGTGTGAGGGACCAGGAGTGTGAGGGACCAGGAGTGTGAGGGACCAGGAGTGTGAGGGACCAGGAGTGTGAGGATCAGGAGTGTGAGGGACCAGGAGTGTGAGGGACCAGGAGTGTGAGGGACCAGGAGTGTGAGGGATCAGGAGTGAGGGACCAGGAGTGTGAGGGACCAGGAGTGTGAGGGACCAGGAGTGTGAGGGACCAGGAGTGTGAGGGACCAGGAGTGTGAGATGAGCACTCAGGAAAAGACTGGAGAACAGTCAGCAGACATGTAGAGCAGCAGGCAGGAGTTATCTTGAGATGATGATTTCGGGGCTTAGTGTCCCCGCGGCCCGGTCCTCGACCAGGCCTCCAGGGGTGACAACACCCACGCACGCCCCCGTCCCTATACACCAGGGGAGAAACCAAAGCAGCCCAGTACAGATGAGCAGTATTACTCATTGACACAAATGCCGATAGATTTACAAATAAAGGGGAAGAGTTACAGGAAGGTATGACAAAGGAGCAACCACACATTATTGAAATAACCGAAACGAAACTAACAAATCCTTACTGGTTCAAGTATACACTAGAGCTCTCAGGTAGTGAAATTATCAGAGGAATATGATCAGCAAGAATACATACCAGGAATAGCAACATTTGGGGACATGAAGGTTGTGATAGCGGTGATTTACAATCCTCCTCCCTCACATAACAACAGAAGGCCTAGGGAGCATTATGATAAATACTGTGACTTTGCTAAAGGTAATATAAAAAACCAGCTACGCCATACCCATTGGTATAGAGCGCATAATAAATAAACAAATATTATTATAATAACATGGCTACTAGTCTAGATGGCGTCTCTTGTTGGAGAGGACTCTAGGGCGGCTGAGTGGACAGCGCTCGGGATTCGTAGTCCTAAGGGTCCGGGTTCGATCCCCGGTGGAGGCGGAAACAAATGGGCAGAGCTTCTTTCACCCTGATGCCCCCTGTTCACCTAGCAGTAAATAGGTACCTGGGAGTTAGACAGCTGCTACGGGCTGCTTCCTGGGGATGTGTAACAAAAAGGAGGCCTGGTCGAGGACCGGGCCGCGGGGACGCTAAGCCCCGAAATCCTCTCAAGATAACCTCGAGAAGGGCCACCAAGACGCCCTCCAACAACAAGGAATGTATTGTGTTGACCCAGATATCATCACTCTCGCAGCCCTCTCGCGCCTCTGGTGCTCAAAGGCAGCGTCCTCACCGCCACTCATGATATTAAGTTTGGGTTCTTGGTAACGTCTAACTAACGGTTAGGGTGGTGCGCCCTTCACAAACTCTTGCGTCAACACATGCTATAATAAAATATTCATACAGTTGCGTTTTAACTACATCCACCCACTGGAAGTACACATGGTACTAGATGTACACATGGCTACTTGCCCCGCTCCTGTGCCAGGTAAGTGGACTTACCCGGCACAGGAGCCAGGTAGGTAGTGGACTTACTTCAGTCCACAACTACAGTAGTCCACTACTTAATTCTCTGAAAAATAGAGAATGCTAAACGCGTTTTCGGCTAAAATCGCCTTCATCAGAGCATTTTAGAATGAAGAAAGGCACGTGGTAGGCAGACCTTATACCCGCCAGGGCAGGTCACCTCACCATCCAGAACATGAAAATAAAGGCCTATTGACCTATATACAAGTAAAAAAATGGGGGAGGTGAAACCTACGGCTAAGAGGGGGACGGAAAAATGGGTTAAATAGATGTTATATTGTATTGAAGTGCTATATTGAAGCTTATATAGGGACCTAATTTGTACATGCCAGGGCTTATATTAAGGCTGCTGTTACATTGTTTGATCAGAGCTGACTCAATCACATTTCCTTCAACGAAACCCTTACTTTTAACAATACATTTGGCCCCTCTGAAGTCGATAGAATGATCACATAAACTGGAATGTAAATACAATGGACTGGAGTGTTGGGCTGTATGAATAGCATATGAATGTTGTTTTAACGTGAAGAAATAGATTTACTAGTGGTGGTGGGGGTGGTGGTCCTAGTAGTTGATGCTCTCCACTACCAGTGGTGGGGGTGGTGGTCCTAGTAGTTGATGCTCTCCACTACCAGTGGTGGGGGTGGTGGTCCTAGTAGTTGATGCTCTCCACTACCAGTGGTGGGGGTGGTCGTCCTAGTAGTTGATGCTCTCTACTACCAGCAGTAGCGGGGGTGGTCGTCCTAGTAGGTGACATGGTCGTCGTAGTAGTTGATGCTCTCCACTACCAGCTTGTCGTGGAACTTGACGTGCTTGACAGAGTCGTCGAGGCCTCGCGGAAGGTCGCTGGGCGCCGTCTCACTCAGTAGCTTCGACATCTGTAAGTAGAAACCTTCCGTGCAGCATTAAACAGGTGCGAAGAGCAGCTGCATAATAACATGAGTTCAGAATTACTGTCATTCACTACAATTAAAATCTAATGCTAAAATTTCCCGTTAATAGGTACAGGCTGTCCAGGTCCTTCTAGCCAATGATTGACTACTATCCGGAATTAAATACACAACAGTCCACAAATTTCCTGGTATCTATTTACTGCTAATGTGAACAGATACTGGGTATTAGTAAACGTTCCCAAACGTTTCGCCCTGCTCAGGAATCAAACGAATCAGCTGTGGGTTGATAAGAGTTAACTCCTGCGCTACAGCATAGATTTTCCGGAGAGGCCTCAGGAACTTGGAGAGAAGTAGTCCCCCTTGGTCTGGTGTTGAGCTTGAGACCTGTCAACCTCTGGAGGGTTATTAAGGCCACCACAATAGCCTACTGACCAATCAACAAGTGTGGTGTTGAAGGCACAACTTTCGTTGATTATAATCTTTGATGGCCGCTCTCCCTCGAAACATTAACCAGAGGTGTCCATAACAGTGACCAGTGTATTTACTTCTAAATACACTGGTAACTGGTAAGATGTAGATGTAAATACAGGTACATCTAGTTAGTTTAGTTCATTTAGTATGCACCCCATACCCATCTTGTGGGCGTCTTAGTACAAGTATTTACATAACACATTGTTTGACTCATCTTGGTGGCTAATTACATTAGTGAACAGGGCTGGAAACTGTATAAGACTCAGTAAAAGTGGTTACACCTGCTATCCAAAGTGACTGGACTAATAAATGAAGGTTGAAAGCATCAAATCATTCACAACGAAAATGCTCAAAGGGTATATGAAGTTCCAGCTCCTGGGCTCTACATGTGACGATATATACATATACATTTATACATGGTATCACTTACTTGAATATTTCTTTCTAAAAATTTTAGAAACTCAAAGTCGTGGTCATCGTCGCCAAAAGGATTGAGTAGGGCAGCAGCCACATTGAGCCAGCCCAGGTAGAAGAAGAGCTGGAGGAGGGCGAAGAGGGGCACGTAGTAGTCGACCAGCTGGTCAGAGTAGCCCTTGGTGGGGTCCAGGAACTGCTCCCCCAGCAGGGAGAACGCGAAGTATATGTACACCGCTACGGTCACCACCTGCAAGAATAATCACCATTTAACAAAGGAGGCCTGGTCGAGGACCGGGTCGCTGGGACACTAAGCCCCGAAATCATCTCAAGATAACCTGAAGATAACTTGTAATGATCTTGATTATATTGGCTCTCTATATGCAGATAGATTTGTACTATTTGTGTCAGAAGGTAAACAGAGTGCATAAGAATTTTAAACGTATTTGTTTTAGTAGTTTTTAGGTATATCACACTAGCAGGGATATGTTAGTGGGAGTGAATGCAGGTCTACATTGTTTTTCTTCTTCCATAAACGTGGTCAGACATTTACAGTGTTAACCAGCATATATACATTTTTTTCTGTCCTCCATGGACAGGGTGAGAGATCTGCTAAACATATAATTCAGTGACTTATTGAACAATCAACCACAGAAGGTGATTGTATGCTTTTAAAATGCTAAGCTAACCTACAAACATAAATACACAGATTTACGTCTGTCCTACATAAACAGTGTTCGAGGTGTCTTTTTACAGTGTCATTAATGTGCGTTTACAAAGGAGAAATGCAATTCTGACCAGCTTTTATATACCCCGTATATAAATACACAAACATACATATACTGTATACACATATACCTACACATAGATCATACCTGACACCTGATATCGGTGTCACTCTACATTTTGCTATCTCCTTCAAATACTGAATTTGCTTGTTGAATGTTATCTTAGAATATATCCACACTCCAAGATACTGATATTGTGTAACCCATTGATGATTAATATCTTGAATGCGCAAGTGCCTATCCGGAGTATTGCCATCAGTTCTCATTGCCTTTCATTTCTGTGCACACATTCTTAGCTCCTAAAATGCTGCATCTAGATGTTATTAGATGAAACGTCCTTCGCGCGTTATCCAAAAGACTTATTATCACCATAGCTTAGCGTTTTCACTCCTACTGCAAATGTTACGGTAATTTTTTATTTTGTTTTAATTATATGGGGAAAACACCAAGCCATTACGACTTCGGACCGAAACATCGTCGTCTCTTCAAATTCTAGTGTGTGGTTTGGTTAATACTTCTGGTATTCATTTGATTAATGTTCGCATTTCGGTTTGATGTTAGGCTTAAGGCCAATTACCCTCTGGAGGACATTTATAAGGACACCTCAATAGTTTACAACCAGCAGGTATACTTTAGTCCTGAACATAGTACAGAGCTAAAGTAAACTCAGTGTATGTAATACCGAGAAATGAGGTACGCCCCTCGGTGTAAATATCCGTAAAAATGTTTAATAAGCTATGTAAATATCCAGGTCCAACGTACTCGTCCACATTAGAGCGAGTAATTTGTGGCATTATACAGTATAAATTTAAATATCTATACACACAATTTATACTGCCATCGTGTAAATGATTATTATTTAGGTTGTGAGTCTGTAAATGATTACTATTTAGGTTGGGAGTCTGTAAATGATTATTATTTAGGTTGTGAGTCTGTAAATGATTATTATTTAGGTTGGGAGTCTGTAAATGATTATTATTTAGGTTGGGAGTCTGTAAATGATTATTATTTAGGTTGGGAGTCTGTAAATGATTATTATTTAGGTTGGGAGTCTGTAAATGATTATTATTTAGGTTGTGAGTCTGTAAATGATTATTATTTAGGTTGGGAGTCTGTAAATGATTATTATTTAGGTTGGGAGTCTGTAAATGATTACTATTTAGGTTGGGAGTCTGTAAATGATTATTATTTAGGTTGGGAGTCTGTAAATGATTATTATTTAGAGTGTTATATAGTGGCTTTAGGCATTGTATGTACTAGCTCTATCTATAAATCCATCAATGTTTGTATCTCACCTTGTATGTATGTATGTATGTATGTATGTATGTATGTATGTATGTATGTATGTATGTATGTATGTATGTATGTATGTATGTATGTATGTATGTATGTATGTATGTATGTATGTATGTATGTATGTATGTATGTATGTATGTATGTATGTATGTATGTATGTATGTATGTATGTATGTATGTATGTATGTATGTATGTATGTATGTATGTATGTATGTATGTATGTATGTATGTAGGTATGTATGTACTTTACCTGAATAAACATTTGATGTGAGTGCGAGTCTCACCTGGGTATAGACAAGAGGAATGTTGTTGCCATAGTAACCGAGCAGACTGCCGCACTTGAGCCTAATACTGAGGACTTCGTCTATGAGAGCTCTTAGAGCCACGTCGCAAGTGATGAGTCCCTCGTGTCGGGCTCGCTGTAGAGTCTTACACGCCCACATTATGGGCACCCAGGCCTTGTGCTGGTCCGTCTGCTCCTCTAGTTTGTTTAGTATATGTAACTCGTGCTCTGTGATGTAGCCTGTAATAGAAAATGAAGAAGTATTTTGTTGATGCACCTATAACTGTTATATTTTATTTCGTGCCTGTGAAATACACCAAATAACAGCCTTCCCACGATCGTCGTCGCCCCTAAATCAACAACACCAAATAACAGTGAAAATTGATTGAGTTGGAAATGGATTTTTAGTTTATTGTGGATTTATATGTTTTAAAATCAAGAAAATAAGGATCACGGGCGATTGGACAATTGTCTGGGCGTCTATCAGTCAGTTATTGTTGGGGTGTTAGGGTGTGTTAGATGTTATGGAGCCATGTACCTTCACGTCTGAAATCGTAGATGGTTCTAAGCCTTTCCTTGACGACGGGGGAGATGGTGGCGAAGGTGATGGCGATGCTCAGGTTGACATAGCGGAGGAGAGTGACTCTCACTCTCCGAGCTTCTCTATTCTGAAAGATAAAACCATTTTTAAGTAACATGGTTTACTGCAACGAAAAGCTGCCATCTCAGCTTTTCGATGAGCTGAGATGCTCAGTTTTTCGATGAGCTGAATGCTCAGTTTTTCGATGAGCTGAGATGCTCAGTTTTTCGATGAGCTGAGATGCTCAGCTCATCGCATCTCAGCATAAGATGCTGAGATGCGTCATTGTTGTTTGTTGTTTAAGATTCGCTACTCAGAACGATAAGTTCCAGTAGCACGGGCTATGGTGAGCCCGTAAACAGAGATGCGTCAAGAAAACGGTCTATTTAAAGTGGTCTCTCCTAACTTACCAGAGGACCCAAAAACAGAAAACGGGACAGCACGTCACTTTCGCCAGCCGCTTCCATTTTCTAGTACGACAAGTACTGGCCTTGTGTAACGCCTACGGCCGAAATGCGACGTTCTTTGTAAGAGGTTAAGTTGCGTGATAACAAGACCACTACTAGACTCGTGGATGGTTATGAAGTCACACTAATTAAAACGTCGTAACTCTTGTACCACTTCAAGATAATTAGCCTATCTTAGACGTCATTATAGTATACTAGATCGTACCAGGGCTTGACCCAGCGGCGCGACCTTTATGAACGCCAGGAACGAGAACTTCAGCCCGTTCACACCATGCTGGCGAGGCTAGGCGGTGGGGGTCTCGTTTTGGGGGCCCTGTGGTCTTTGTTGCCAGCGAGACCTGCATTATGTCTTCAAGGTCCTCACACGTAGGGTGTTGATTGATGTCTTGGCCTGATCACAGACCTCACCTGAGCAGGTGACGTCGTGGCCAGACCAGAGACCTCACCTGAGCAGCTGACGTCGTGACCAGACAAGAGACCTCATCTGAGCAGGTGACGTCGTGACCAGACCAGAGACCTCACCTGAGCACGTGACGTCGTGGCCGGGTCACTGACCTCACCTGAGCAGGTGACGCCGTGGTCAGTGTTATGCGACACGGTAAAGTTAACAGGAGCACTACTGAAACTGCTAAATTAGTAGTACACAAAAAACCACTCGTGCATAAATTTGTGGATATTGTATGCACGTCGACTGTCGAATTCCCGTGACAAAGAAGATGTAATATTAACCCTCATGGCTCGTGGTGTTATACGATGCTTCAATTATTCAGTTGCTACCTGCCCTCGCGAGTGTCCGCGCGAGCTACTTAATACAGCTGCCGCCGCAGACCATATGCAGCACAACGCAAGTGCACCGCGGGTGACCGGAATATGTTCGCTAGGGTGAGAAAGTCAAATATGAACTCAGCAATGTCACCTTCCACAGCGGGAACGAATACCCTAAACTTGCTGAGGCCATGATGGGGAACGGAGACATAATGGAACTGCGCTTAGATAAAAATTAACAAATAACCCAACCCACACGTACGAAATGAAATAGAGGTGACAACTTGAGAATGGTCCAGGACCGAAACGTCGTCGTCCCTTCACTTTCTAGTGTGTGGTCTGGTCAACATACTTCAGTCACGTTACTGTGACTCATCGCCTGCATAGAGGTGACAACGTTTCGGTCCATCTGGGACCCATTATCAGGCTGTGATATTTTAGTCCCGTTATTGTGTGGTCGATCATAAGCAGTCGCTGGACTGTCCAGACTCGAAATCATGTTCTTTGTGAAGCCAACGACGACTTACCCAAGACAACCTGACATAGAGGACCTTAGAAAATCACAAATCATATTACCCTGAGTAAACAAAGTTAATGCTAAATTGATAATGTATATACAATATATAACTAAACGTGACTTTTCCAAGAAATAAACTCAAATAATTGCAAATAATTTTCATTATAGAGGAAGATCACCTTTAACCCCTTGTTGTGTGGTGAGCTCGGGTGTGTCTGTACACCCTCAGCTCTCCGCCACACCAAGAGTTAAGTGTGACATTCCACTATAAAGAAAATGATTTGCCTGGCTTTTGGAGTTCCAGCCCCGCTCCTGTACCAGGTAAGTCCACTACGGGCTCACCATAGCCCGTGCTACTTGGAACTTTTGTTCCAAGTAGCTGAATCTAAAAACAACAACAACAACTGGCTTTTGCTGGCGCAGGGTGCAGTCGCACCTCCACAGATCTCCAGTATCAGCTCTTGATACTGGTAATGGCTCCAAAGGGCCACCACCTACGGGCTATTCATGCCCGGGCCACCTTTTAGCTGGCTTAATCTTCATCAATCAATCAATCTGGCTTTTGCTCGCGAGAGCAGCCCGTTCTCGCGAGCGTTCACAACTACACGGGACCCCAAGATTCTGTGGACCATTCAGGGGTGGTCCTACCCATACCATTACACCTTGGGTGTACACAAAATTAATCGAATTGAATTATTATTGTCTGTATCATATTAGTGTTGCATGAGAACACACTGACCATGCCAGGGACGTAGGTGGCGGCGAGGATGGCGGCGGCGTCGGGCCAGGGCACCGTGCGGTAGATGTCCCACCAGCGGCCCACCACCAGACCCACGTAGAAGCCCAGCACGAAGGACACCGGGATCACGTCTCGGTAGTGGGTGAAGTGCAGCACAATCTTCTCAAATATTCTGTAATATACAAGTACATTGAGAGGTGAAGGAACGTAATATGCAGGCCTGAGGGGCGCTCTAAGCAACAACTTGTTGGACCAAGCTCTCACAGGTCAAGCGGTTTATTAGCATTGACCCAAATGAATTCAGTTCATCGTTTTCCTGTAAATCATGAAACTGTGCGGGTAAACGGCGGGGGTACCTTTAAGATTCTATGGATAAACATCACAAGTCAAGCCCGGCTCGGTAATGTGCGGGCCTGAGGGGCGCTATAAGCAACAGCTTGTTGGACCAAGCTCTCACAAGTCAAGCCTGGCCTCGGGCTGAGCTTGGGGAGTAGAAGAACTCCAAGAACCCCAGCAAGCAGTTATCAAGCAGGTATTTAATATGATGTTATTAAGAAGATACAACTTTTATGTCCTCTCATTACCATAAACTCATTTACAACGAAGTCAAGGAGTGAAATTATATTCTGTTTTGTATTCTTACATTTTTTTACTTTAAAAGTTCCAACCAGCAAGAAGGCATTATATGTAATGTAAAGATTCACTAATTCAAGAAATTTTCGACAGGATGGTGGTAAATGTGTTGGGCAGCAGACATTGGTCTCGTCCCACACACTGTGGGTTGCAACTGACAGGGACCACCAGTCAGTGTTAGATCATAGTAACTGTGATCTACAGTAGACAAGGGCTACAAGCTAACGATAGATCATAGTAACTGTGATCCACAATAGCCAAGAGACTGCCCAACCAGTCACTGCCTTACTTGCGTTCCTTCTCAGGAAGAGCGAAGCGGTAGATGAAGGAGATGGTGAAGTAGAAGATGAGGTAGACAAGTATATCTTGCCACACCGTCTTATATACGCTCCCTCGCCACCTGAAGATACAAGAAGACACTGACAAAAATAACATCAACTATATTAATATTATAAATTGTCATCCACACCTCCGTGGAAATAAACATTCTATTCACCTTTCCTTATTAAGACCACTCAATAGCTCGGTCGATAGACCTTTGGGCTCACACCTTTCGGGTCCAGAGTTCGAGATTCCTACAGCCCAGGTGAATGGAGTATATTAATCACACAGAGATCACACTAACGTGATGCATCAAATGAACAAATCCACAAGGGCCGTGACGAGGATTCGAACCTGCGTCCGGGAGCATCGATTAAGGTAGTGTCTGGGATGCTCCCGGACGCAGGTTCGAATCCTCGTCACGGCCCTTGTGGATTTGTTCATGAGTATATTAATATTCATTATTCCAAAAATAAATTATATATATATAATAGTACTCATTTATTTATTATTTATTTGTATAAAATACTTAAAATGTTACAGTATTTACATAAACTACATGGGGTGCCAGGCGGTTCCCCGATCGAGCCCAAAAGGTTGCGTTACCTAAAACTTTGTATGTCAATATCTGAATTGTGAATATTATAAGCCGGTAAATATCAAAAGAAAGCGCCAAGCCAGGAACAGTATAATGACACTATATGGACTCCAGCTCTTATCCACTGACTTCATGGGGGTCGTCATGGAAGCCGAATCCTCGTAAAGATGAGCAATGGCTTCGACCCCGACCCGACTATGACAGTCCCCCCACCCCCACCAGTCACCCTGTAAAGTTGGGTGAGGCTAGGCCACCCATCTGGCCTTTAACAAAAGTTCTTTTATAGACAGATATATTACATTATTCAACAAACCTGAGATAAAGAGCTTGGCTAAAGAAACCAAGTTCTTTAGCTTCGTCTGTCACAGAACATTAAAGAAGTCCAAGATATCATTTAAGATGCGACAAGAAGCTACCTTGAAGTGTCCAGCTCACCTGATAAGGAGCTTGAAGGAGCCACAGCCGCCCTGACTCGCGACTTCATCAGTATACTGCACAGTCATCACTGCGGCCGCCTGTGGTGACACTACTCTCCTGCAGATCCACTAGAGTCTCTCACGAGGGTTGGAGTAGTTCCAGACGGCTGAACTGGTTCATTACGGTTCGAGTCCTCGGAACGACAGGAGTGGTCCAGAAGGGATGCACCGGTTCATCACGGGTGGGGAGGTTCACAACACTTGGCTCATTATCACTTGACCGATCTACGGGCTCACCATAGCCCGTGCTACTTGGAACTTTTTGTTCCAGGTAGCGAATCTTAAACAACAACAACTTGACCGCATTAGAATGGCTGCAGGGAATCGAAGCGCGTGAAGTTGTGGTCACCCAGGCGGCAATGATGGCATGGAGGCTCCACTCTCACACTTCTCATTCCTAAAGAAAGGTAAAGCAATTCAGTTTCTTTCTTTAGTATGCACCCCATACCCATCCTGTGGGCGGTGGAGGAAAGGGTTACATAGGTACATAATCGGTTAAGGAATTGAACCCTATACTTCGCTTAGCTAAGCAAGTAACACTCTTTTGAAGCTAGTTACAAAATTGTTAATGTTATTTATATATATATATATATATATATATATATATATATATATATATATATATATATATATATATATATAATCAGTTACACAAATACACATCAATAATCTTTTTATATCACAAGTGATTCAACAAGAGGCTCACAACAGTCACTAACTGTTAGATGCAACATTTGGTAGTCACTATACAAGGCACTTTACATCTATGGCGAATCACGGGCCAAATTCAGGAAGCAGTTACGCAAGTACTTACGAACGTGTACATCTTTCCTCAGACCTTCTGACCTTCGTCAGAAGCAGAGGAAACCAGTCCTCCACGACTACGGTTTACACTGGCGATATTATTGTGGCCTCTCGCATGGGGGTCATGTTTTTATTTATTTTATTTTTTATTTATTTATATATACATGAGTTACATTCTTGTGCAGCCATTAGCACGCATAGCGTTTCGGGCAGGTCCTTTATCCTATTTTTCACACACACACATCCCCTAGGAAGCAGCCCGTAGCAGCTGTCTAACTCCCAGGTACTTATTTACTGCTAGGTGAACAGGAGGCATCACAGTGAAAGAAACTATGTCCATTTGTTTCCGCCTCCACCGGGGATCGAATCCGGACCCTTAGGACTACGAACAACAAGGGCTGTCCACTCAGCCGTCAGGGCCCCTATGTCAGAAAGATCTGCAGGAAGGAGGATAGAAATAACTTAAGCTACTCTATCGTTTGAGATGTATTTCTTTCTTGTCTCAATAAACATACTTGAACTTGAACTTGCAGGCAGTACGCATAGCAGTACGGCACTAAATAAACTGCCTAACGTATACAGGACATTGTGTAGCGTAACACAAATATCAAGTATAATAAAGTAGCAGTCATTAATGTCAGCAAGAGGAACACTGAAGGCGGCGACCGTAGCAAACAAAGGTAGAAAGGGCATGTGATTTAATGTGAAGGCATTTACATGCCAGTCTCAAGTTGACCAGGCTAGACCAACTTGAGACTGACTTGTGTTTTGAGTAACCTTCAGTGACCCAACTTGGGGGTCCCCGCTATCACTTGCAGTGCATCGTTTTGAATAACCCGTTTGCCCACTGGCTAGGAGAAAGGGATAAATAATAATCAAAAGGCACCAAGCTGAGGAGACTAAGTAGCATTATCGGTGTCGCTGTATATTCAAAAGGAGCTAAATATCACTGAGGATGCCAATACGAGAACAAAAGCACATAAGGCGAGTGATATCAAAGGTATCAGATTCACCAACGATTTTGACGAAGGACAAATGACTTCGAGGGACATTAGGCAAGCAATACACACGATCGTCCTGAAAATCGGAACATTCCATAATGCACGACTGTGAGTGGGACAACGCAGTTGGGACAGTAAGGAGCAGGGCGGCGTTCCGTTTAATATCCGTGAGTTAAGCGTGGATGGCCAATACGTAGCCTAGCCAAAGCCGTTTCCCACCGTTTATTACGATGAAGGAGAAGGCTAAAGGGAATAGATTACTTTTTAAGAGTGCGCAGTTTGTAACTTGTAACCTTAGATCAACGACCCTGCCAACGGTCTCGGATTGAGGAATGGCTAGGAGAAAGAGTGAGCCAGGCGCCGTGTAATCAAGAACAGAACGAATAACATGTACGTAAAACATTCTTAACTCTTCGTGCCCCGGTCTTAGACGACGCCCTGGGATTACTCTCAATCTATTCTTGATTTTCCTGTCATCAGATATTTGATTTGTTTGTTGAATTCCATCTTAGAATTTATCGAGAATCCAAGATATTGAAAATGTTTAACCCGCTGAAGGATAATGTCTTGGATGCATCGGTGCCTGCTCGGAGTGTTGTCAATGATGTTCACTTGATTGGATTTCTGATGTGACGATGTTTATGTAAAAATAAGTGATGTGAAGGATTGTAATATGTTATTACAAGCCAGGTGCCAGCATGCAAGGTGTGAGCTAAAGGTTTCGCTAAGGTGACCTCCCTACCTCATACATGTGTTCCCACACCTCATATATGTGTTCCCACACCTCATACATGTGTTCCCACACCTCATACATGTGTTCCCACACCTCATACATGTGTTCCCACACCTCATACATGTGTTCCCACACCTCATACATGTGTTCCTACACCTCATACATGTGTTCCCACACCTCATACATGTGTTCCCACACCTCATACATGTGTTCCTACACCTCATACATGTGTTCCCACACCTCATACATGTGTTCCTCACCTCATACATGTGTTCCTCACCTCATACATGTGTTCCCACACCTCATACACGTGTTACCCATAGCCCGTGCTACTTGCCCCGCTCCTGTGCCAGGTAAGTCCACTACGGGCTCACCATAGCCCGTGCTACTTGCCCCGCTCCTGTGCCAGGTAAGTTCACTACGGGCTCACCATAGCCCGTGCTACTTGCCCCGCTCCTGTGCCAGGTAAGTCCACTACGGGCTCACCATAGCCCGTGCTACTTGCAACTTTTGGTTCCCAGTAGCTGCCTAAAACAGCAGCAGTTGTAAGGGTGCCCCGCGCCCCACAGTGTAGCCTAGGCGCCGCTACACACCGTGTACAAGCACATATGTACATTTGCAATTAAGATAAACATGTAATTTGGATAATTAAGTAGTTGTAACTCTGACCCCATGTTTACTGTAATGACCAGTGGGAATAATGACTATTATCATTAATGGCGCACAAGGAGGAAGCACTCATGATGAATGTCACAATTATATTTGTATATGAATTGTATTCCAGCACAATCATGATTATAAATAATAATAATTTTTTTTCAGCGATATTGCTGCGCGGGCCCTGAGCCTCTGGCTGGCCCACTGGGCGGGCCCTGAGCCTCTGGCTGGCCCACTGGGCGGGCCCTGAGCCTCTGGCTGGCCCACTGGGCGGGCCCTGAGCCTCTGGCTGGCCCACTGGGCGGGCCCTGAGCCTCTGGCTGGCCCACTGGGCGGGCCCTGAGCCTCTGGCTGGTCCACTGGGCGGGCCCTGAGCCTCTGGCTGGTCCACTGGGCGGGCCCTGAGCCTCTGGCTGGCCCACTGGGCGGGCCCTGAGCCTCTGGCTGGCCCGCTAAATGTTACTCATTTCTATCTTAGATGGAAGCCTACCTGTATGTTGGCTTCATTAACGTCACGTCCAATGTATTTAACAAGTTCTACTGCGTTGTTAAATTTCAGTAGTTGGTAATGATGATGATAATGCTACGGGAATAGCCTATGAAAATACTTCGAACCAGTGACATACAATTTTCTTTCTGGTATGAACAATGGCTCGTTATCGAGTCATTTCTCAGTAGAAAATATTAAGTTAATACCTTCAGCGGCAAGGCAGTCAACATTCTATCTTCATCCTAACGGGACACGGGAACCCACTTCCAGCCGGCACTTCATTTAGAAGGAAGTTGAAAAATTAACTCTTCAAAGTTCATCTTACAGTTTTATTATGACCTGATGCTAAGAGATGCGTTTTGCATTATCTTATATATCAACCCATCCACCTGGTTAGATAGTACCTATTGTGATGATCGACAATAGTCACTAATTCGTACGTTCTTAACTTTTAGGAGGGGGTAGAAATAGCCTAAGTTACTCTATCCCTTTGAGATGTATTTCTTTCTTGTCTCAATAAAAATACTTGAACTTAGCTTTAGATAGAACAGAACGAATAACGTACGTAAAACATTCTTAACTCTTCGTGCCCCGGTCTTAGACGACGCCCTGGGATTACTCTCAATCTATTCTTGATTTTCCTGTCATCAGATATTTGATTTGTTTGTTGAATTTCATCTTAGAATTTATCGAGAATCCAAGATATTGAAAATGTTTAACCCGCTGAAGGATAAGGTCTTGGATGCATAGGTGCCTGCTCGGAGTGTTGTCAATGATGTTCACTTGATTGGATTTCTGATGTGACGATGTTTATGTAAAAATAAGTGATGTGAAGGATTGTAATATGTTATTACAAGCCAGGTGTCAGCATGCAAGGTGTGAGCTAAAGGTTTCGCTAAGGTGAGCTCCCTACCTCATACATGTGTTCCCACACCTCATACATGTGTTCCCACACCTCATACATGTGTTCCCACACCTCATACATGTGTTCCCACACCTCATACATGTGTTCCCACACCTCATACATGTGTTCCCACACCTCATACATGTGTTCCCACACCTCATACATGTGTTCCCACACCTCATACATGTGTTCCCACACCTCATACATGTGTTCCCACACCTCATACATGTGTTCCTCATCTCATACATGTGTTCCTCACCTCATACATGTGTTCCTCACCTCATACATGTGTTCCCACACCTCATACACGTGTTACCCATAGCCCGTGCTACTTGCCCCGCTCCTGTGCCAGGTAAGTCCACTACGGGCTCACCATAGCCCGTGCTACTTGCCCCGCTCCTGTGCCAGGTAAGTTCACTACGGGCTCACCATAGCCCGTGCTACTTGCCCCGCTCCTGTGCCAGGTAAGTCCACTACGGGCTCACCATAGCCCGTGCTACTTGCAACTTTTGGTTCCCAGTAGCTAACTAGAACAGCAGCAGTTGTAAGGGTGCCCCGCGCCCCACAGTGTAGCCAAGGCGCCGCTACACACCGTGTACAAGCACATATGTACATTTGCAATTAAGATAAACATGTAATTTGGCTAATTAAGTAGTTGTAACTCTGACCCCATGTTTACTGTAATGACCAGTGGGAATAATGACTATTATCATTAATGGCGCACAAGGAGGAAGCACTCATGATTAATGTCACAATTATATTTGTATATGAATTGTATTCCAGCACAATCATGATTATAAATAATAAT